CCTCTGATTATTTATCCAAAAAACATATTTTTCATTTTTGCTATCTTGCATTGGTTTCTAACCTCCACAAGCTTTCATGCTTGGGGTTGCCAAATGCAAAGAGTTTAAAATCTCCCAATCTGAATTTTTCTCCAAAATGGATACATTTTGTGCCCAGTGTTTAACTTTCCCTTCCCAAACTGGCAACCATGTGCACCTGCTCTTTCTGGGCTGCAAAACAACACAGATGATCGGAAAATGCCAACAAACATGTATACTAGAGTTTAGCGATCTCCATTGTGATATTCTGCGATAATCAGCCAGTCTGTGTTTCTTCATAATGCCGCTTGTGCTATTTTCTGTGAATAAAACTGCAAGCAAGCCTACTCAGTAATGAACTATAATAAATCCAAACATGACTCCTGACTACTTTGTTTGCCACTGTGGTTGCTGAATAAATGCACTTAGTTATTGTGCCAAATAAGCCTTTCTTGTTGTTTTAATAGAAAAACATGAACATAATTTGGAATTATTGAAATTGATATTAGAAATTTCACCGTTTTGAGAGAAACTCCTTAAGCTTACCAATTTTTCTCTTGTGATTTTGTGAGATTTTTGAGAAAAATAATCGTGATTTAATAGTTAACCATTATCCTGTAGCCCTAAGATACAGACATTTGCTTTGATATCTAGTGTCTAATGCATAGACATTCAGACATTTTTAAGTGTCCAAAATTTTCAGGGGATCACTGTACATAGTTGTTATTTGACATGGTGAGAAAGCATTCGAAACACAGCTTTTGTTAGCCGTTCAGCCAATCTCCTCCTGGCAGCATTTCAGGACTGAATGCTCCATTTACCTTTCCATCAACCCTCAACTCTGAGCTGCTGTTTGTGCCAAATGTGCCAGCAGTGACTGAACACACACACACCCGCATTACAGCGATGGAAGCAAAGCTGTGTGTGAACGTCTGCATGATGTGTCCTCACATTCCCTGAGCATCACGATTCCTCTAGCTCCACATTGACTCAAGTTATTTAAAGAATGGAGGGAGGAAGAGAGAGAGAGTGTGGAGATTTTTTCGTGTGCTTTAAGTGAAGGAGATTTTGGAGATGGAGCCAAAAGCTTGTGCGTGTCCCTTGCGTCACAGTGAAACCTCTGAACTCACAGGAACAAGACAAAATGAGCTGAATGATCAAAGATACAAACTGTTTATCTCTCTATGTCTCATAATAACCAAGGAAAAATGAACTATTATTAGAAGTCTGTACAAAGGCAACCATGGCTATTTACCATTGCTCATAATTAGTGCTACAAATGATGATAATACCTCATATCAATGAGTGTCGGGTCGCATTGCTAATTCTATTCCTAGCAACACCATAGCAATGACCAGAACCCTTCAACCTCATAGCAATGTGCTAAAAAAACACTTGGAACCCTTTTCGTTTATTATAAGTGGGACAGTAAAAAAAAAGACAGAAAATGGTAGATATAACAGGATCAGAAAAGTACTTACCTCACCCACATGAGCACTTCAACTTAACACGTCAAATGAGCCTGAATGAAATACAGAGCTAATAAAGGTTATAGAGCAATCGCTTGCTTATTAATGAGAAAAGTCGTACTAAATGTTTAAACACTGTCAACAAATAAAGCAAGCAAATTTCCTCATTTCCACACCCATTTGCGCAATGAATGTTTATTATGTAAAAAAGAGCCACGAGGCGAATATTTGTCATCAGAAAATACTAGAAGTCCTTGTCGCAAGCTGCTCTGAGTGGGTGTGTGTTTTCGGTGTGATCCGACCGCGTAGGAGTGCACAGCATAAATGCATAATAAACAAAATTCAAACAGGCACCCAGACGAGACTGAGCCGTTCATTTCTCATGCCTACCGCTTTACTGCTGCCAGCGGGATGCCACGCTTTACCATTCTAATGACACTAAACCAAAACCGGCCACCGCCGCTTCATGTGTGAAAGTTTAAAAAACAGGAAAAGCAGAGACAATGAAATTATTGGCTTTACTGAGTAACCCAGTGGAGGATTGAACTAAAGCTGGTGTTGCCACATTTAGTTTTCATGCACACACACACACACACACACACAAATACATTCAGGCTGCAAAGTGCTTAATTATGCAATACATTTATTAATTTGGCACACAGAACAATATATCTAGAATAATTTCTGTAAAAATGAGGATGTTGACTTGAATTCATTCACAGCAGGACGTTATTAAGCCCAGTACCCCCTAACCCCAGTCCTATTCAAGTCTGGCCGGAATAAACACATTAAGCACATCTTTTAATAGTCCTGACACCCAAACAGCCGTGTCCGTGATGCGCTCTTAAATGTTTATATCCGCGGGAGCAATTAAAATCCCCCTCTTCTCATCTCACAATCTAGGGGCTAATGAATTAAGCAGTTTCCTCACAGAATCAAGGCCGCTGGAGATTGCCATTTGCCGGCTGAAGACAACATGTACAGTAATTGCTGCCTAAGAAATGGTGCAACACTCACTTTGTGATACTTATGAAATCCAAAGTTCTGTCATGAAACCCTAGATGGCGCAGTCCGATAGGTCTAAATCAATCTGACAATATGACATCATAAACACGTGGCGCAGCTGATTGGTTCTTTTTGCATCAGCACACAATGAGTTTGCTATTCAAAATTCAAATACTTGACTAGTGCTTGTTGTAGCAGTTTGCAGCTTGCTTCAGAAATCCTCCACCTTCCCCAGCTCCACCTGTATAGATCTGCTACAGGGTGATTCATGTATGCTATATATGGGGGTTATTTTAGATATATTTGCAGCAGCAGTATTTCTTACATGCTCACAGCAGCAATATACAGTTGTATATGTATTGGCAGTAGCAAGTCTCGGTACTTGCTCTGCCGCAGCAGCGTAGCAGATCTATTCCACCAAGTCCAAACATTGCAATGTACATTACAATGCTAAACCCTCCGAGAGTTGTCATGATAGAACTATAGTTGTACTACAGTGACAATACAGTAAAATGGACAAATATGCAAAATGAATTTTTGCATCTCCTGCAAATGATTGGAAAAAATGGAAAACCTTTATATTTTCTCTTATTTTATATAATTAACCTGAAATTCTCCTCATAACTGGCCTACAAAAACAATCCTAATAAAAACACTGCATATCATTGAAACAGGTTTCAAAAGTGCAAACTAAAACTGTATCCATCAGCCCTAATCCATTGGGCCACTTAAAAGTGCAACCTTTGTATCTACTGCCAGTTTTGGCTAGGAAACTATCATTAAAACATGCTGAAGCATGTCTTTAATTGTCATTCATAAATTCCCTTCATGGGTGCCTGGTTTAATGAAAACTGGGCAGAATGCACCTCTCTGAAGAACTGTGTTCTCCCCAGGCTCACAGCACACCCACCTATCCGTGAGCAAAAAGTGGATGCTGCTGGAGGTGCTGAGATTGCACTCCACTGATATTTCGAGAAAGGCCTGTGAAATTAGACCAAGAGAGTGCAAGCTTTGGTCAGCAGAGTGGTGTAGGGCGTTTGCTTAGAAAGTTCACCTCTAATAAAATGAGGTGTCAAGCAGCTGTGCTTTGTTGTAACCTAATAAAAAAAGCTGTTATGAGTACTTTGTTTCTTAAGAAAAAATATCCAACCAATATTTAAACTTTGAACATCAGGAACATTTGCTGTTTTGTTACATTGCAAATTAGCTATCTATGGTGGCCTAGTAGTGCAAAACACAACGAAGTCTCCAGAACACAATGAAATCACCACAACACGTTGCATAGGATCTATAATTTCATTGTGCTGTGCTAATTTCGTTGTGTTGGCTTGTTTCCACTGTGTAATACTAATTTCGTTATGTTGCAGCTTGTTTCCATTGTGTTGTACTAATTGTGTTGTGTTGCAGCCTGTTTCCATTGTATTGTGCTAATCTTGTTGCGTTGCCACTTATTTCCATTGTGTTGTGGCTCATTTCCCTTGTATTGTGCTAATTTCATTGTGTTGAGACTTATTTCCATTGTGTTGAGCTAATTTTGTTGTTTTGCAGCTTGTTTCCGTTGTGTTGTGGCTCGTTTCCCCTTGTATTGTGGTAATATCGTTGTGTTTAGACTTATTTCCATTGTGTAGTGGCTTGTTTCCTTTGTATTATGCTAATATTGTTGTGTTGAGACGTATTTCCAGTGTGTTGAACTAATTTCATTGTGTTGCAGCTTGTTTCTGTTGTATTGTGCTAATTTAGTTGCGTTGCGACTTATTTTCGTTGTGTTGTGGCTCGTTTCCCTTGTATTGTGGTAATTTCATTGTGTTGAGACTTATTTCCATTGTGTTGAGCTAATTTTGTTGTGTTGCAGCTTGTTTCTGTTGTATTGTGCTAAATTTGTTGCGTTGCGAATTATTTCCGTTGTGTTGTGGCATGTTTCCCTTGTATTGTGCTAATATCGTTGTATTGAGACTTATTTCCATTGTGTTGTGCTAATTTCGTTGTGTTGCGACTTATTTTTGTTGTGTTTTGGCTTGTTTCCATTGTGTTGTGCTAATTTCATTGTGTTCTGGCTTGTTTCCATTGCGTTGTGCTAATTTTGTTGTGTTGTGGTTTGTTTCCATTGTGTTGTGATTTATTTCCGTGATTTATTATTGTGTTGCGGCCAGTGTCTGTTGTGTTGTGCTAATTTTGTTGAGTTGCAGCTTGTTTCCATTGTGTTGTGGAGATTTCGTTGTGTTGTGCACTACTGGTCCACCATAGCTATCAGTTACAACAACAATATGAGAAAGCGCAGTTAAGAAATATTTTTACAAAGTTGTTTCCCCAAAAAACACATTTTTAGAGGTCTATCCAGCAATGATACGTCTGTTCCCGTAAAGAGTGAGATCAAATAAATGCAACACTGGAACTGACATACTCGTAAGCTTGCCAAACTCTCCTAGAATAGGAGTTTCCCCACTCCAGCGATTAATTATTGGAAATGGACGACAGCTGCCTCTAATTAATCTGCAAGGCAGGCGGTGTGGTGCGAGATTGTGCGTGAAGAAACCACTCCTGCCGTTTATGACTTTTTCATAGGAGGACTCATGTATAATGGAGGTGAGTAGAGATGAAGATGAGATGAGAGAGCAAATGAATGGTGAGGGAAAGCTTGTTAGTAGACCAGTTTGACTGCTTCGCTGTTCCTTACAGACCCCTGTTAACAATTTATGCTCTGATCTATTTTTCTCTATTTTATCCATTTATCTGAGTGAGTAGATACACATAAGACACATAAGACTTTGGAGCCGCAGCTTCTCTTCCTCTCAGTTCCTCGTGGATGAATCTCTCGAAAACATGTGCAGTTCATTTCAGTTCAAATTAGTGTGTTATATAATAAGAAACTGTTTGCTTTTTAAGTCTACTTTTAAGACCATTAAGATTTTTTTGTTTTGTTTTGCACTGATGTTATTTTCTTGACATTTAAGCACATTTAAACTTCAAATTTGCTTTACTGCAATGCATCTGAACCATTTTTTTGAGATTGTAATTATGATTTTCAGTGATGATTCTTATTAGATTCTCATTACTGTAATGATTGATAATATTTCTGGGATATATATTCTTGACACTTTTCGTGAGATCCACCCTAGAATAAATATCTTTACGGTTATAAAAATACCATAACGTAAATACAAATGCCCACACACACAACAGGTATCGGTGTTGATTAGGAAATGCCCTCCAGCACAAGACTGGGGTCAGTTTTTTCCCTGGATACAGAGCAGACTTCTGTGTTTCCATAACAACGCTATGTTGCCATGAACACCTTGTGAGCATGTAATTAGGTGCACTTGTTTAGCTCCGTAATCGCTTCATTCAAGCCTATTTTTGAAACCCAGTGTTTTCTTAATTACTTGTCTCTAAATGTGGACATCATTTTTTTTTCCCACCGGTGACTCATTTTTAACACCCTCCTCCCCACACTTAGGCTAATTTGGTTAAACATTGTGTTAATGTGACATGATGATGAGAGAATGCACCAAAGCCTAATCAAGTAGCAAAACAAATGAATTAAATGAACACGAAACTGTTTGCTTTTTAAGACTATTTTTTAAGACCATTAAGATTTTGTTTTGCATATTTATTTTCTTGACATTTAAGCACATTTAAACTTCATGCTTGCTTTACTGCAATGCATCTGAACCATTTTTTTGAGATTGTAATTATGATTTTCAGTGATGATTCTTATTAGATTCTCATTACTGTAATGATTGATTGATTGATTGATTGATTGATTGATTGATTGATTCATTCATTCATTCATTCCCATGTAAAATAATTTGAATGGTCCTGAAATAACCTTTTTTTTTGTATAAAATCAGTAGAACAAATACTACCATGACATAAACACTTTATTTTTTGCATCAATATAAGGTTATAATGGGTAAATGTAAATTACTTGTCATGAAAATAATGTCACAATGTAAAATAAACACTGTGTTAATGTGACATGATGATGAGAGAATGCACCAAAGCCTAATCAAGTAGCAAAACAACAAGACCATGCAAATGATCATATCCTATTCATTACAAAGAGGTGAGCGAGTCAAAAAGTGTGAACATTTCATGTGCAGATTTCCACCTTCCAGCACCTCAACTACAGAACAACAGATATTTCTGTTTTGACCAATACAGATCGATCTTGTTTAACAGTTGTTTAAAACGCAAAAACTAATTTAATTAGTTTTATTTCTGCTTTTTGCCTCAACAACTATAATAATCATTAGATTACAATAAAAATATAATGCATTATGAATTTTTATTATTACAACATTTGTGAGCATTAACAATAATAAAATATTTTGACAACACTATTATTGCTATTATTATTATACTGTGTATAAAAATTTTAAAAAGTTAATTGCAACTTTCTCACAATTCTGCCTTTTTTATTCTCGCAGTTGTGAGTTTACATCTTGCAATTCAGATTTTTTTTCTCATGAAATGAAGTCAGAATTGCATGAAATATACTTGCAATTTTGAGAAACAAAATCAGAATTTGAGAGACATAAACTCACAAATCTTTTTTTCTCAGAATTGCGAGAAAATTGTGAGTTATTAATTCCGAATTGTGAGATAAACTCGCAATTCTGAGAACATGTCAGTCTTTTTTTCACCCTCAGAATTTGACTTTATAACTTGCAATTGTGAGTTTACTGTATATCACGCAATTCTGAGAAAAAAGTCCGATTTGCGAGAAAAAAAATCTGAATTGCGAGTTTTTATCTCACAATTCTGACTTTATTTCTTACAATTGTGAGTTTATATCACACAATTCTGAGAAAAAAAGTCAGAATTGTGATATAAAAACTCGCAATTACCTTTTTTATTTTTTATTCAGTGGCGGAAACGGGCTTCCATACTTTAAGCCACACATTTTGTGCTTAATAATGAAAGGCTATTATTTATCAAAAAGCTTTTAAGTAATTATCCAAACAATGCATTATATATGTTCCTTATCTGTTGTTGGGTGTTATTTGAATAACCCAAAAAACTGTGCCATTTGTCTGTAGAAAAACCTGATAACTAATTAGGTTGAAAAGTCTTAAATCTGTAAAAAAAATATTGGTCAAACAAATACCTGTCTCTCTCTAATCACCGCATTTGGAAGGCATCCAACATGTGTATCATGCTCAACTGCACTGAGCATAGCTTTTCCCTTCTTCTTAGAAGACATTCACGGCAATGACACTGAACAGAGAGAATGCCTAAGGGGAAGAAAGGATGTCCTCTATTACCTTATGTGCCATTGGAGGGAATTCACTTCACAGGTAGGAAGGGAAATACGCAGCGGTTGGGTTTGTGACTGGGAGGGCTGTGATCTCAGCATGGAAGGGAACAACGTGTCGTGTTGCTCCTGGAAGAGCTGGGATTGGGACACGGGGAGGAAGAGAAATCGCCATGGGACGCCCAGCCGTAACAGACGGAGGAGCGTTGCGTCAGAAAGCAGATTCAGGAGCACAGTGAAACTGGGACTGTGGGAATTGGAAGTTGAAGTAGAGCAAACAGCGCTGAAGTATTGCACACGCACACACAGGTCACATACACACTGCAGCTAAATATAGTTGTCACTCCTGCAGAACAAATGCTTCATCTCGTTCTGTACACACAGAGTTCAGCCATTTATGGAAGTGACAAATGCATTCTAGAACCGAATTCACTCCTGTAAACTTCAAGTAGCGACAACTACATTAAACCCATCTTTGATATATAGAACCGAACTGGAAAACTAGCTCAGAATCGTCTGCAACAAACCAACCTGGAAGCTCTAGCAATGCTAAAGACCTGAAGATACATAATTACACCAACCTTAACATTTTTGAGAGTGACTACTGTATTTTGTGCACCAGTGGCCAGTTGCATAACAACTAGTGTCTTAACAACTAGTCTGCCCAACTAGCAGCTAACCAAGGGGGAATCAGTCTTACTTTTTGAATTCAAATCTGTTTTATGTAACTGACTTTAAAATGTTGAACAACCTTGTACCTGTAAGACTAGTTTTAGCAGTTTATGCAACTGGCTTCAACTTTAGAAATGGAATTGATGAAGCAAAAAGAATGCAGAATTCCACTTCAAATTTGAATGTAGGACATTTTGTAGTAATTTTTAACTACAAAAAAATGGTTCAAAACAAAAAAATCCTAAAAGGCCAAGAAATGTTGAAGATTTATAGGCATTGCAATAGACAGACAGACAAATGTTTAAAAAATTTAAATTTTTAAATTTTATATATGAAAATAATAATCTATGTAATTTTCATTTACCAGTATGCATTAATTCTACTTCCTGTCATTTCGATTCAAATTCCAATATAATTTTCTGTGGGGTTTGGCCTATTCATTTTAAATTCATAAATTTAAATTAATTGAAAGGGAGCTGCATTTTGTACAGCTCTGACATACACAAACGAAGTGATACTCGCAAGCCAAAACCAAAATTGCCTTCAAGCTTAATAAGAACTGCGAGCCCATCTGAGGATATAAGGACCGCACACGACTTATGTCAGGATGGAAAAAAAGGAGTCACTACATCCTGTCAAATTCTGTGTAGCTAGAGGGGAAAGTGACAATTCCAAGGCAGGTCGGGGAATTCGATGAAAAACCATCACAGTCTCGCAACTAAATGGGTTTGGGGCACACAGCTGGCTAAGTCTCCTCTCTTTCAGCACTCATCTATTTTCTCCATCTTTCACCCTGGCGGGACCTTTCGAAGAGCAAAAGGGAGGGGAAAAAACACGAGGAGTGAGCTAATAAGAATTCTCAGTGGTCCCAACTCTGACGTGTAGAGAAAGGTCATTCCAGATATATTTACTTATAACAGCACAATGCATTATGGGGATGGCACTCATAAAATGCAAAGAGCATATACTATAATTCACAGCGTGAGCGAAGCGCTTCATATCTCTGACAGATTTTGCATATGTGATTGCAATCGAGTATCCAGTGCGCTCAATCAAAAGCCTTTAATTGAGAACGGACATTAAAGAGCGAAGCATCTGCGGTACGTCCCCACGGTCAGCGCAGACCCCGAGACGAGCTGCTATATTAAAGTGTAAATATTCGAACGGTGCCATTGCTCAAACAGCTTGTCTGAACCAGACCAAGAAGTCATTTAGTTTAATGCTTTAAGATGCAGACCCACCACAAGGGAAATTGTCTGGTGACAGCCACTATTGCTCTTAAAATGCTTTCCTGCCAGGAATCTTAAACCCATCACCTGCTATGAAAGCCTCCAAAGGGGAGCGTGCTGAGAATTTCGACCAGATGGGTATCCGCCGCCAACCGGAGCACTTCGGATACAGGTCGAGTCGAGCGTTCCTTGAATGTTTTGTCAATGTCGACTACTTTGCCAAGTGAAACAGCAGCCCGGACGATTGCCTAGCGAATCATGAATAAGTTATTGAGAGGTTTCCTTGGCGATAAGGTTCACTGACATCTTTTGGACTGTGCGATAGCTCATGCTAAACTGGAGGGGATGACGGATGGCGCTAGCCTTAGATAGCTTTGTCAGTGTCACAGCCCCCGTTCCCCCCGGGTCCCGGGCAGCCCCGGACCGGGCGGTGCCGGCCACAGAAAGAAACACGTGGCTGGAGTATCTGGAGAGACGCTTGTGACAAAAAGCGAGCTCTCGATCTCCTAACTCAAATAACTACTTGCCTGCATCCCATATTTCTCCGTGACCTTAAAGGAAATGACAGCTCTCATCTGGGAGTTGGTGTCAGGTCAAAATACAATTGTTTTTCTCTTGCTACCATTCTCCTCTACCAATGACAGAGAAAACGGATGACTGTCGGAAGGAATTCGCCATCTGTATAATGACGGTCTCACATTTTCTTTCAACGCTGGTCCTGAAACTTCATTTGAAAGTAGACAAATGCAAAATGTATGCAATTAACTGCCGATGACCCGTGCTGTGTAATGACCCACTGTCAGAAAAGATGACACTGGACACAGTTACAACCTATTTTAATTTCATAACATGACACATTTTTTTCCCCTCCTAAACCAGCTTTTTTGGCTTTTTGGTCAGGGAAGTTGAAGGTCAAGTTCACCCTCTGCACGATTTTGCTATTATTGTCAACCAGCATTGATGAGAAACCAGGAATTTGTATTAAGAAAGTACATTTTGATTGAAATTGTTTATGTTATGTGCAGTTCTGCTCCATTTGTCCAAAAGTTACAATCTGTCAAGGTTACAGGAATGCGTCGTTCCCTGTAGAGTAGCACGGATTATCAGAACATGTGGGATATCGCCTGGAAATGATGCTTGGCCGTTTGGGCTCTGCTGCATGCGAAGGAGTCTAGACCTTTGTCTCAGAGCACAGAGGGGCGTCAAACCACCATTCTGCCGATCACTAGAGCTGAAAGCCTCCTGTGAAATGGCCATGTCAATGGTTTTCCAAACGCACATGGCAGGAACCAGTCATGTCTGATAAGGTGACATCAAAATTGACCCCATTTACTTTCTTAATACATGCTCTTAGTCTCATTGAGAACAATTCATCAGTACACATTGTGTTAATGAACAAAATTGATTTCATAATAATCTTTCATCAAAATTAATGAGAATTACCAAATAAAATAACCATTTAAGCATTTTAATGTTTGCATTAATTTAAAGCTGTTTAAAGTTAAATTTAATGAAGGTTATTGCAATAATAGCAAATATTTTCAGAAAAGAGTGCTTTACTCAATGTCCTGGTCAAAAAGCCTCCTCAAAAGTGGGTTCTAACAGCGATTCTGTAGTCAACTGCAAACTTGCATTTTAGACCGGGGTCCATTCTTGTGTGCAACATCTAATTTACACAATGAAATCACTTCCAGATTAACAGAATCAGTTTCTGCCCATTTTTTTTTCTTGCCCATTTCTTCCAGAAATGCGACACATTACAGGTGTAAAATGGGTTGCGAAAGCAATTAATTCAACATGCTGTGATTCTGATAAATGTCCATATGCAGATGTACAGACATCAAAATATCACAATTATATATGTGTATATAAAAGCTATAAATAACGTGAGGTTACAATTAAACATTCTAACCGACTCGATCAACTGATTTATTACGGGAATGTGTAAGTTAAATAGAGATTCAGAATGGCACACAGCTATAGCCTCATCATGAAAAGTGGAACAAGCTCTCATAACAATAATGAAGTCATGATTTTATTACAGCCCAGGTCTGATAACACATTGACGCCTGAGTCTTAAGTAGTCGTTTCTAACCCTTAAGCATTTGGCTAATCATTAAAACCCCATACTTTTCAAGACCTCGACATAAATTTTTTCAAACGCTTTTCAATACAGTTTGTGCATGTTTTTTCCCCAGCGCGATGTTAAAAATAGAACTACTATTATTGACAAGCCAAGGGTGAGACATCCATTTACATTTAATTAAACTATATCTATCAGGCGGATCGAGAAAATTCGAGAAAATTCAATACGGAACGTATCCGAGGGGTCTTTCTTATTCACCCTTCTTCCTCTCCATCTTCTCTCCTAGCACTTATTTTCAGATTAGGGTCTCGGTTTTCTTTCAAACACTATGAATCTTGGGCCGGAAGTGTTTTTTTATTCTTCTTTACCAATTTTCTCACACTTTGCAGGGTGCTTGAGGACCTTGACAGACACTTGGCAGGCTGAATGCCCCTTGCATCAAGGGCTCCTCTATATAGTAAAATATAGTATGTAGTATATATATATGCAAAGAGCAAATTGGTTACTGCATTTCTTAATTAAAATAAGTTTCCTACCAATGCATCCAGAACAATTAAAGGGATAAATCACCCCCCAAAAAAAAAAAAAAAAAAAACTTATAGGCTTTGTTTTTTTATTTCCTTCTCTGCTCTGAATCTTTCAGATAGCAAGCCTGTGTGGGCAGGCATGAATCAGCCGCTCGCACTGCGACTCGAGTTAATCATGAATAATTGGCCCAGGCTACTAGTGAGGCATATGCTAAGAATGAGTGACTAATTATGCCTTTGGCTAGATGCTAGTGACCCCTCAGCCTGTTTGAGGAGTCGCAGCACGTTACTAATATGGGAGAGAGGTATAAACAAACATGAATCCGGCTGTTTAGCTCCACTTGCCCAATTACAAGGATCCAATTAGAGACCAGCATCCCAGAGCCAGTAACACAATTTATGACCAAGGTGGGGATTTTATCTGGGGAAACTAAGCACGGTAGTCATAATCTCAATAGCCACGCCATCTTTAATTTGGTGTATGGACTATTCTAGGTTTTTTTGCACACTGCAAACTCATTTGGCCAAGAAAAATGAAAACTTAATTGATGATGCTGTCAGCTTTCACTGCACTCCATCTACAGTAGCTGTTTCTGAATGTGAGAACAAGTCCTATGTGAACAGCCCTAAAATGAGCAAATACCCTTCTGATGTGAAACCAAAAGCCAAAAGCATGTAATCTTTCTCCAAAACTTCAATGTTACCAACATCCCTCAGAAAGACTGGGCAAAGAGCAGCTCCATCTAAAATTGGAGCGCCGTTGAGTGCCAGTTGCCAAACTCAGCGGGATGCTTTTAAGGCCCGAGGCTGGCACAATCATCTCAATTTTTTATTCTTTTTATTTATTTATTTATATTTTTCAACTGCAGTCTGGACAAATGCATAGCAGTCTGCCAGTCAGTGTATACCCAGACAAACTCTGAGTCTATCTGGTTCACTATCACATTGGGCACAGACAGTGTTTTAAATACCGACTCACGAGAGACTTTGTTTGTTGGCTAATTAGCCGAGTGCAGAATGGTTTTTCAGCCGGCATTGTTATAATTGCAGCCGGTTTATGCCGCTGACCTTTTTTTCAGCTGCATTTTCTGCATCTGCAGTTTTTATTGGTGCAAATTTTATGCAAGGACATGTTTTTAATGTCTTGCTTGGTAATG